TGGGTTAGAACTGACTTGACACACTTAACAACAACAGAAGGAGAAGCTGAAATCTAGGACATCTTTGTTTTAAGGTAGGTTATGGTTGTCCTGTCCAATATGGTAGCCACTAGGCAACTGTGACTACGAAGGGCTTGAAAACTAGCTAGTTCTACTTGTTGAAATGATAATGTTTTAGATATGGCCAAGTTAAATAAATGGTAATAATGTTAATTATTATTAATATTAATAATATTTATTATTATTAATAAATAACTAAATGGTGATATTAACATAATTACCATTTAATCTGTTTTTTTTTTTTCCTTCTTCTTAATGGAGTCTTTAGAAGGAACCAGGTGGCGCTCAGCAGCTAACCGAAATGTTGAAGGCTTGAACATACCAGCTGCTCCGTGAGAGAAAGATATAACTTTAAAGAGTACAGCTTTGGAAACCCTATGGGGCACTTCTATTCTGTCCTGTAGGGTTGCTATGAGTCAGAATCAACTCAATGCAAGTTTTTATTTTAAAATTTTAAACAATGCATGTTATGCATTTCATGCTTCCCATGGACAGTGATGAAGCACTCAATTATGTATTCATTCACCAAACATTTGTGGACTATCTCTCTGCCACTTGTGAGACACTGAGCTGAGGACACAGAGCTGAGAAAAATAGAGCATAGGGACTAATGAAGGCTTTGTTCCTTTCAAGAGTTGAGTGATTAGAACCTTATAGGATGAGTGCCAAGGAGGAGTTATACCCATATGGACACAGGAGAGCAGATCCAAGCCAGGTTGGCCAACCAGAGAAGCCTGTCCAGAGGCAGGGGAAGATGGGTTTAAAGGACCCTGGACAGGGGGGCGGGAATTAATGTTGAGTCCATTGCAATGCATGGCAACCCCATGTGACAAAGCAGAACTGCTCCCCAGAGTTTTCTTAGCTTTGTGATCTTTATAGAAGGAGATCACTAGGCCTTTATTCTGCCAAGCCACTGGGTGGGTTCGAACTGCCAAACTGTTAATAGTCAAGCATGAACCATTTGCACCACACAGGGACCTCCATTTTGAAGGACAACAGATGTTAATTAAATCAAAAAACGGAGCAAGAGCATTCTAAGTCAGGGAGAAGAGTTTGAACAAAAAAATGCATGACTCTGACTGAGTCGTTCTTCTTTAGGTAATTGTCCAAAAGTTTAGTTATTAAAGAAAATTGTGGGTCAGAACAAAGATAATCCATTATGTTCCTTCTATTCTCCCTTCAGGAGCTCTGGTGGTGTAGTGCCTAAGGCATTTGACTGCTAACCAGAAGGCTGGCGGTTCAAACCCACCAGCCACTCCCCAGAAGGAAGGTTGGGCAATCTACTTCTGTGGTGATACCACCTCAGAAACCCAAGGAGGTTAGATAGCTAGAAATAAGTATTGATTTGGATGAAGAGAAGGGCAATGCACCAAATGTGAGTGACCAATATGGCAGCATGGAGGATGAGAAAGACAGAGAGAGGTACATGGGAGGTATAGACAACAAATATGAACCCTTTTGCATATACAGTACTGTGTTGTCAGTGGAGGCAAACATGGGTATATGGATGGATAGAGGGTGGACAGGCTAAACGATTAGGTATGTCTATGAAATGGGGAGTGTATCCAAGAATATATATAGGGTCGGCAGACAATGGGCCTATAAGTTCATGTGAATGATCAGAATTCCCAGGTGTACAGTAGAGCTGACAAGGGGCAAGGGTGTGGTCACTGCTTGGTCACAGCCAGCTACCCAGAGGGACTGAGCAGTTGAACCTGCGGGCTTGGGACCATAGTTGCAGGGGACATCAAGCTCAATTGGTATAACATATTATACAAAACATTGTTCCACCTCCTACTTTGGTTGAGTAGCGACTGGGATCTTAAAAGCTAGCAAGCTGCCATCTAGAGGCAATGATGGGTCTCGCCTCGTCTAGAGCAAAGAAGAATGAAGAAAACCAAAATTCATGGAAACAATTAGTCCTAGCGACTGGTGTACCATCTGATCTGCAGCCTATACAACTATGAGACCAGAGGAACTAGATGGTGCCTGGCTACCACTGTCATCCACTTGGAAGGGGATCTATGCAGGAGATCCTTATTAGAGAGGGAGAACAATGTGGAATAAAACTCAAAATCATTTGGAGGGGGGATGACCAGATTTGCTGGTCCGATAGAGCCTCGTGGAACCACTGAGACTATGGCCCCTAGCTGCCCTTCAGGTCTGGAATTGAACCCACACCTGTGGTTTCCAGCCAAACAAAATACAGGCATATGAGTTAAACATTTACCTCAAGTAGATACACTCCTTGGAGAGAACAATCATGGGAGAAAGAAGGGCTGCTTATGCACAGGGAGATAGCTCAGGGGGCAGGAGTGTATGGAGGGATGGACACTGGGAAGAGGTAACTATGGGGTGGAAGTATGAGGGGAGTTGTTGCATTGTGGTAAACTGTGGTCAGTGACATGAATCAAAGTATATGTGAACTGCTGTATGGAAAGTGAATTTGCTCTGTAAATCTTCACCCAAATCACAATAAAAAGGAAAAAAAAAAAGAAACCCAAGGAGGGGTTGCTATGAGTCGGATCCGACTCGACCGCAGTGAGTTGCTGTTGTTTTTATTCTGCCTTCATTTTAAAGCATGAAAAAGAAAGCAGATCAATAGTAGGTAGCAAGCACAAGAAACAGGCCACAGCTCCAATTGCTCCTGGCAGGAAATAATTTTATCAACCAAATCATGAAAAAAATCAGTGGTTCTTAGCTTTGTAACAAAACTTGCACTTAAGAGCGGTGGTGCTGAAATACTGTTTCACTGTATCTGAAATGTGTTGGTTCTGAACGCACAGGTAAAAGGAAAGTGGCCACGTGCTGCTCTTGGTATCTGGCCTCCATTATACGTGAGGTGCCCTGTGTGGAAGACTCATTCTAAGTATGCCGTAGCTGAACGAGAACATTAGATGTGTGAATGGTACACTGAGGTGAAAGGCTGGAGAAAGTTCTGAAAATCATTTTATTGTCCATCCACCCCATTCCAATCAATAAAGCCAGAGCACAATTGTCACTGTATTCGTAAATGACAAACTTGCTGCTGTTCAGAGAGCTTTGCATATTATGTTGATTTCCCAGAATGGCAAAATTTAAGCCACCTTCCATTTTACAAACTTAGAAACAGGATTTAAGTAAGTCTTAATTAACTTTAAAAAAAAAAAAAAAATCTAGCGCTTTAACATGAAGTGATTTTCATCTTGAAAGGTTTCAGTTCAAGGTTTTGTGGCCTTCCAAAAAGAAAAAAACCAAACTCACTGCTGTCAAGTTGGTTACAACTCATAGCGACCCCTCCTTGGTTTCTGAGGCAGTATCTCTATGGAAGTAGCTGCCCAGTCTTCCTTCTGCAGAGTGGCTGGTGGGTTTGAACCGCCAGCCTTCTGGTTAGCAGTCAAATGCCTTAGGCACGACGCCACCAGAGCTCCCTTCATGGTCCTAAACTCCTTCAAACTGTGTTCTCCTTTCAGAGATCTGTGATATGAAGTCCCAGCACTGCTGCCCAACTACAATCGTATATTGGAGTAAGCACTGACAGCTCAGTCCCTTCATCAGTGAAGGTCATACACTGCTCAAGGGTGGATGGTTTGCTCCTTGGAAGGAAGAGTTCTTGGCTAAAGCACCCTGTCCACCTCTCTTAACAATTGCTCAGTCTGTCTCTGGCTGCTTTAGGCAAATGTCTCCAGCAGGGCTTAGTCACCAGGAGATGATCTATGATGATCTTGTATCTGGACTCTAGGCTCCTTAGCTGGGGTTCCCACTCTCATGTCAGCAGCCGGCATTGCCATTTCCCTGACCTCTCTGAAGGCTTAGTACTGCTGGCCACGTTTCTGAGTCTGTGTCCCTTCACAGAGGAGAGCAGGTGTGATGGCCAGCTACCAGCCTGGAGGGACCTTATACAGGGAAACATTTTAAGTCTACTGGTGTGGCTCTCCACTTATTCTTTTGGAAGCTTTCATTTCTTGGATAAGCCCCAAAACAGCTAAATATTTTTTAAAAAATACTTTAAAACATAACTAAGAATCTTATATTAGCAACAAAGAAAGATAATTTGGAGCAAGCTTCGAAGAAATGAAAGAACACTGGCTGGGTCAGATGCCCGTTTTCTCATTCGTAGGGGAAAAAGCTTGACAACCTCAGAGCAGTGGGCAACCCAAAGTGAGCACAGGGGCCTTAGAAGTCTCAGCAAGCTTGAGGTGGAAAAGGACACACAGGCCAATGATAACAGACATCACACTGCTTCAGTGTTCATAAATTTATTGAGTAAAAATGAAATCAATGTCAGACATACTAAATTCAGTCAGGTTTAGATTTAGTCGATATCCACTTGCAGCAGAGAACTGAGGTGAGGGCAAAACAGAGTGATGCTGCCAAGAGCCACGGAACAAAACCACCCACCGTTAATTATAAATGCAGGCATCACATGGCCAGTGCGAGTCAGTTAGTAAAGGCTGGGGGACTCCACGTGGAACCAGCAGGGATAAAACAAGGAAAGCACAATGCTTCGAGGGAGGAAAGAGCCAGTACGTTTAGAGAACAAATCATAGTAGGGGCCGGAGAGTAGCGGCAGATGCAGACCCGCTGGGTCACTTGGGGAAGACAGTGACCACGTCGTAGCCCTCAGGCGGCGTGACCCGCTCGCGGGCATGCTTTTCACAGTAGATTTGATCCTCCACAAAGAAATGGCCCTTCTGTTTCAGGTTGGTACCACAGTCGGTGCACACGTAACACTCAGGGTGGCGCTGCCGGTCCCGCAGCTTCACAAACACGCCTCTGCAGGAGCAAGGGAGGAAAGAGGTTCATTAGTGACAGGCACCTGCAGTGGCACCAGAGCTCTGCACCCCTCCTTCTTCCGGGCTAGTGACAGGCCTCACTCCAGAGGTCCATCAAAGGGCAGAACGGCGCCTCCCTTCCTGGCCTCCATTCATAAAGGGGCTTCTCATTCCTGGGGTCCAGAGACATTATTTTTGAAGCCCCACAGGAAGCCCTTCCTACTTTCACAGAGCAGCCCTGCCCTTTCTGTTTCTCATCTCCATAACTTGAAGGCTCCAAATATCAAACCAAACTCACTGTCGTTGAGTCAGTTGCGACTCCGAATGACCCCTCCTTGGGTTTTTAAGGTGGTAAATCTTCACAGAAGTAGATCGCCCATTCTTCCTTCAGAGGAATGGCTGGGGGTTTGATCCGCCAGCCTTCTGGTTAGCAGTCAAGTGCCTTAGGCACTATGCCACCAGAGCTCCTACCCAGAGTGCTCCAGGGCCAAGGAAAACCTTCCCCTCCCGGATCTGGGGCATGGGACCTACCCAACCTCTCTTCTCCATTCTTCCAGGCAAGATTTTTTGCCTTCACACCGAAAGTGTACAACCTCCAGCACTTCCTGTATTTTCATGATTCACCCAACCTGCAGAGCCTCTAAGGGCCAGGGGAGGCAGGTACTCACACAATGCCAGTGCCACATTTGTCACACATGGGCAACTTCTGTGCATTTCCAATCGATGCAGCCACTTTGGTAACCGGAGCCTTAACACTTCTGAATCCTGAAGGCTTGTTGGGATCCCCTAAAATGGAAAAAAAAAAAAAAAAAACAGGTTGGCCAGGAAGGGCAGAATTGAATAATTTAACTCTCTCAGAGCCACATAATGTTCAAGCAAGGTCATGGGCACTGGTGTCAGACAGACCTGACTCTTCTGTGTGATGCTAGGTGAGTTACTTAACCTCTCTGGTCCTCAGTCTCCTTTTCTATAAAACATGAGATCATTTTGCCTTTCACTGTTATACAAAAAGATGAGAAAATATACATAGGCCCTCCCACAGAACCTGGCACATGTCAGTCCTCAATAAATGGAGCTGTTGTTGTTGTTATGTGTCGTCGAGTCAGACCCAATTCATAGCAACCCCTCCTTGGGTTTCTGAGGCAGTATCACTACGGAAACAGATTGCACAACCTTCCTTCCGTGGAGTGGGTGGTGGGTTTGAACCGCCAGCTTCCTGGTTAGCAGTCAAGTACCTTAGGCACTACATTACCAGAGCTCCCATAAACGGAGGTAATTCATATTATTAGGAGTCTGGGTGGTTCAAGCAGTTTGCAATTGGCTGCTAAATTAAAGGTTGGCAGTTCGAGTCCACCCAGCAGCTCCACAGAAGAAATGCCTGGTGATCTGCTTCCACAGATTACAGCCAAGAAAACCCCATGGAGCAGTTCTACTCTAACATCTATGGCCATCATGAGTCACGGCCAACCTGGTGCCAGCTAACCACCACCGCCATCTTATTATTACTACAGTTACTATACAGACTCAGCTGGTGGTGCTTCCACATCACTTATTTTCTTTACTGTGATACATTCTAGCAGAATTGTTATGTTTGTCAGCTATTGACATGTCTCTCTGCCTGGAACATCTCAAGGAGCCCTGCACAGAGCTAGCAAATCAATCAGGAACAGGTTCCATAAACACACAGACAGGAATGACAAAATGCCATGACAAATGGTTTCTACCTTAGTGCAACATGCTTTGGCCCAAGGAGCTAGGGAAGGCTCTACACCAGTGTTGGTTCTGAATAGGCAGGCACCTATGAGCATCCCAGGCAACACAGGAGACTTAGTACTATTCACAGGCCAGGCCTTCCCCGAGACCTGCTGAATGAGCATCACCAGGTGTGGAAGATTCTATTCTACAATCCTGGTTAGGATCCACTTCTTCAGAAGTTCACTCAAATGTAATTGTTCATCAAAATCACCTGGAAAGCTTGTTAAACCCCAGGTTGCTGAGCCGACCCCCAAGGTTTCTGATTCAGTGAGTCCTGAGTGGGGCTCACAATTTACACTTCTAACAAGTTACCAGCTGTTGCTGATATTGCTGGCCCAGGAACTCCACTTTGAGAACCATCAGCGAAGAGCAAAGAGGTGGTTCTTTGTGTGAGAAAAGGGGGTAAGCACAGGGCCAGTGGTAAGTGCAGCCACGCTGGGCTCTTGTCCTTTCAGGAAATGAGTGCCTGTAAGGTAACCAGTGGTTCTGAACAAAAAAACTGAGACATGTGTTCAAACTAGGGGCAGACTGTATTTTGTCCACAGTTACCCATACCCTCCTCACCGTGCATGCTTCCTTTTAGGTTATGTTCTCAACCCCAGGACATTTTTGCCCCTTCAAGAACATTTTTGGTTGTCACCACTGGTTGGGAGGGGAGGGCTAACAAGCATCGGTAGGTAAAGGCCAGTAGTTGTTGCTGGGTGCCGTGAGTCGATTCTCATTCAGAGCCACCCTGAAGGACAGAGCAGAAAAGCTCCACTGGCTTTCGAAGGCTGTAATCTTTTTGGGAGCAGATGGCCAGGTCTTTCTCCTGCAGAGCCGCTAGGTGGGTTTGAACCACTGATCTTTCAGTTAGTAGCCACTGTTGTTGTTGTTATTTGCCATTGAGTCGGACCCGACTCATAGCAACCCCTCCTTGGGTTTCTAAGGCAGTATCACTGTGGAAGTAGATTGCCCAACCTTCCTTCCGAGTAGTGGCTGGTGGGTTTGAACCGCCAGCCTTCTGGTTAGCAGTCAAGTGCCTTAAGCACTATGCTACCAGAGCTCCTTAGTAACCCCTAGGGCTCTTTTGTAAAGGCCAGAGATGCTGCTAAACATCCTAAAATGTACAGGACAGCCCCACAACAAAGACTTATCTGGCCTAAAATGTCTCGGCTGAGAAACCTTGCTCTAGGTAAAATATGCTTCCCCATTTCACGGTGGGTTTGGTCACATGCCTTTCTTTGGCCGACAGAGTGTGAGCACACGTGATCCATGTTTAAACAAAGGCACTAAATGCACCTGTGTGGTTTGGCCCTGTCCTCACTGATCTTCTGCCCTCTGCCTTAAGAACACAATGCCCCAGAGAATGACTCCTGCCTCCATGTGGCTCCCAGCATGAGCCAAGTCCAGCCCGGCCCGGCCAAGCCAGTAGCTCTCATGTAACATGAGCAAGAAATGCCATTTGTTGTTTTAAGCCACTGCTGACTAACACAACGGGAGAGTTATTTTACATTATAGTTTGAGACACTTTTCTGGCCTATAGGGAGCAAGAGGAGGGGAAACAGCCTTCCTAATGTCATGGGGCTAAGGCCATGACCTGGTCGTGTTGGGCTAGCCAAGTAGTCAGGAAAGAGAGGAAGCACAACGAGTGTAGACAAGAGCCAAGGAGGGATATGAGAGCCCCACTTGGCAGGAGAATCCTCCAGGGCTTTGAATCGGTTCATTCTGGTTTGATCCCCTGCTAAGAATTTGCATTTCCACCGCAGACGGACTGAATCAGAATCTACAGTGCAACAAGATCCCCGGGTGATTCCTCTGTATACATAAGATCTTGCTACAGTGTAGTTTCTGATTCAGTACATCTGGGTAGAAACCCAAATTCTCAGCAAGGGGCAAACCAGAATGAACCAGTGTGAAGCCCTGGAACGCACATGCCATTTTGGAATAAAAAGAAGTAAATGCCAATAAACACGGGTGCAGCTGGGGCAGATAACGCGGGCCTCACTGAGGCTTTTCCAGCCCCAACGCCCACCCTGCAGCGCCATCTGCCGGCACAATTTTCCCCTCACTTCTCCAGCCAACACTGCAAAGTCAAAGAAACCTGTCTTCTTCCCTCCCTTTCAACAGTTGTTGCTGTGTGCCATCCAATCGATTCCAATCCACTGCAGCCCTATAGGACAGAGTAGAACTGCCCACAAGGTTTCCTAAAACTGTAATGTTTGTGGGAGCAGATTGCCAGGTCTTTTCTCCTACGGAGCCACTGGTGGGTTCGAACTGCCAGCCTTCTGGTTAGCAGCTAAGTGCTTAACCATTGTGCCACAGGGCTCCTTTCCCTCTCAACTTAAGGTAAAAATATTAGCTCCATTTGGACTCTGGGCAGCTACAAAAATCTCTAAATTCTCTTCCTCTAGAGTACCCTACATCCCTAAGCATTCTGGAAAAATTAAAATGAGTTAAATAAAGCATAGCTTTTTTTTTCTATTTACTCCACTGCTCAACAAACTTCCAGGGCTTCACACGGCCAATCAGAACAAATCACAGTCCTTAACCAACACCTGGTGGGCGTCCATGATCCGACTCCAGGCTGAGGACCCGCCAGGAACCTTAAGCACCAGCCACAACGAGCCTAGATACTTCCTGAGCGAGTCGTCAGCTTCCTCATCTGTGAGCCTCTAACCATTCTGTGTTCTCAATCCACAATGTCTCCTTCCACTTATTAAAAGTCCCCTTCTCCCTTCAAATTTTGGAAGTTGATCCAGAACAAGATGAAGTTTGAAGAACCCAGAGCCCTTCCTTAGCCCAGGGGTTGAATTTCATCCAAAATGAGAACTCCTCGGGAGTCTGTGCAGGTTTCTCACCAAACCCTGCAGCGCTGCTCTCTCGCCCTGTGGGGAGTCCACTAACAGCACTCGCTCACCCCTGGCACTTTACAGACACAGCTTACCTTAACCTGCTCAGCTACCCTGTCAGGCCACCATTATTAGCCTCACTCAACTTGTGCAAGGAGCCCTGGTGGTACAGTGATTAAAGCACTTGGTTGCTGACTGAAAGGTCGGAGGTTGAAACTCACCAGATACTCCACAGAAGATGGGGCAGAAGATAGCCGTGGAAACCCTGGGGAGCAGTTCCGCTCTGCCGTAACAGGGTGGCTATGAGTCAGATGCAACTCGATGGCAATGGGGTGACTTGTGCAGAAACTAAGAGCAACCAGCCTGAGGTCTCCCGGCCGGACAGAGGCAGATCCTGGGTGCTGGTGCTCTTTCTACTGAATGAGCCGAACTCCTTTTTGACTCAGAGGCCTTCTTGAACGACAGCAGCCCTCATTGAATGTTTTGACTATGTGCCAGCCACTGCACTAAGCTTTGTATATTCCATCTCAAATAAAAACAGGCATTCAGGTTCCCTCCTCTGAAAGCCTTCTGCATGTGGCAGATGTCTGGACTGGGTTTTATATCCTCTTCTGTGAAAAAGAAGCACTGGTGGCACACTGGTTAAAGGGCTCAGCTGCTAATCAAAAGGACAGCAATTCAAACGTACCAGCCATTCCTCAGGAGAAAACTGTGGCAATCCGCTCCATAAAGATTTAGTCTTGGGCAGTCCTATAGGGTCGTTATGAGTAGGAATCGGCTCAACAGCAGTGGGTTTGCGGTGCTTCAGTGAAAACTCAATGTAAGTGCATATTAGGAGGCATGGGGGACACTGACATCCATTCCCTCCTCCTTCCTTTTTAGCAAAATCCTTATTTTCTTCAGAACAAGAAGACATGGAGCCTTGGGGCAGAAGTCTGTAATTCCTAGACCACTTTGCAACCAAGTGTGGCCATGTAACTAAATTCTGGTCAAAAAACCCTAGATGGAACGTGGTGTAGGACTTCTGGGAGGGAGGGTGGAAGCTGACCCATCTGCAGTGGGGGAGTCCCTAACCTGCCCTTTGCCCCTTCTTCCTCCTCCTGCCTCTGGTTTGAGCCCACACACACATTCCTGTGGTGGCGGTCAAGGGCCAGGGGTGCTGACATCCGGAATGGAAATGAATCAGCAGCACCGTGAAGCCAGGCGTTGAACATTTAGTTTGGAGGCAGGTGTTTGCTCTTGCCCTAGCCTGGGTGGTGACTTGAGGGCCCCATCTCCAGTTCGGTAAGACTCTGAACTTCTCGAGGGTAGTTTTCTTATCTGTCCACCGGGGTTAACAATCCCTTCCTCAATAACTGTTGTAAGAATCAAATGCCATAAATTGTGCAAAACATCCATCATCATGGCTGGCACGCATAGGTGCTTATTGATAATGGTTATTATTATGTTGGAAACCAGATCAAAAGAGCTCCCAGAACAGCCTTAGCTAGTCCACATGTGTGCTCTGATGCCCAGGGCCCCACAGCCACCCCTGTGATCCTGCAGGTCTGAGACAGATACTCTTTGCATCATAGATATATACTGTATGTGTACGTGTGTACGTGTGTGTGTACAGTGGTGAAAATATAAACAACAATTCACCAGTTCAACAATTGCTACAAGGATAATTCACTGACATTGATTATAGTCTTCACGTTGTGCAACAGCTCTCACTAACCTTTTCCAAATTATTCTAGCACCATTAACATAAACTCAATGTCTCTTAAGCAAAAGCTCTCTTTTCCTCCCTTCCCTTCCATCCCTGGTAACCACTGATGATCTTTGGTTTATATGTATTTGCTTATTTCATATAAGTGGGATCATACAGTATTTGTCCTTTACCGTATAGTTTTTAAGCATATAGCAGTAAAAGTGTCTTATTTTAACAACAACCTAATATAAGAAATTTGTGATGGATGCAAGTGTCGTAAAAGGAGGGATGTCTTTTTCTAATTCTTACAACTCTGACCTGTGGATCAGCAGCCCTCAGACCACTCACCTTCCAGGTATATTTTTAAGAAGCACCTTTTGTGACTCTACCGTCAAAGGAGCTCTGGTAGCATAGTGCCTAAGGCATTTGACTGCTAACCAGAAGGCTGGTGGTTCAAACCCACCAGCCACTCCTCAGGAGGAAGGTTGGGCAATCTACTTCCGTAGTGATAATGCCTCAGAAACCCAAGGAGAGGTCACTATGAGTTGGATACGACTCAACGGTAGTGGGTTTACCAGAGGTCTAGCTGGGAATGACCCAACTCTGGAGAGTTGGGTTTTGCGCCCCCTCGTGGCTGCCTGCAATGGCCAGCCCTACACATTCTGTCTTCCACCCGTTCCCCCAGGCTCAGGCACCTCCCTGGAGGGACACCTGGTGATTCCACTAGGAGAGACCGCCAGAGCCAGCCTCTAAAGGGACCATTTGCTTAGGGAAGCCAGTGAGGATGAGAGCTGAGGCACCCTGCCCTCTGGGAGGATAACCTCCCTCCTCAAAGATCCCGGCTGCATATTAGGCTTCGTGGGGAGGCCTTCCTGAGGTGGGAGCTCCTCTACTGAATACTCCCAACACCTGGGCTTCCTCCCCATTTGTGTAGCTTCTTTAGAGGGATGGTAATTTACACCCACAGGAAACTAGGAAGAAAGTGCTCCTTTAACACTACAGAGATACCAGCAATTTCTCCTTTTGTAGTGTCTCTGCAACAAGGAAGGGTCTTAGGTTCTTAGTGTTGCTGTAATGCAAATATCACAAGAGGGTGGCTTCAAAGAACAGAAATTTATTTTCTCCAAATTCTGGAGGCGAATCCAAATCAGGGTCTCAGCCATGTTGAATCCTGCCTTGTAGGCAGCCCAGATGTTTCTTGGTTTCCTGGCTTGTACACAATCCTCCCATGGTATCTGTCTTCCCTGTGTGTATGAGTTTGTGTATATGTGTATATGTATGTGTGTAATCTGTTCTTTTGATAACTCGGAAGTGATTAGATTTAGAACCCATCCTACTCTGGCAGGATCTCAGTAACAAAGAAAACCCTATTTACAAACAAGTATAGGGGTGAGAATTCCAACACATATTTTGGGGGGGACATAATCCACAACAGGAAGTAATGAGCCTGTATTAATAGCCTGTATTAAATTCCAGTATTAGGCCAGGCTGACAAATGACATGGGGGTAAGAGCACCCCAAATTAACTTATGACTCCCAGCATGGGATGGTGGCTATGCTAAGGTCTGAGGCTTAAACTCCATTTTGAATCAAAAGTAACCTCTGCATCAGGAATACAGCCTATCATTCCTGTAACTCCCCGCTGGACTCTGAGAAAATCCCTTGGTAAACAGTTTCAGAAAACAGTGTAATTTGGTTTGCTTGTAAGTTTTGTTTGCTGCATCAGATGCCAGGCCCAAAAGAATCCCAAGAATAGATGTTTACTCCAGAGAAACTTTAGAAATTCGTATGTTCTCCCTATAGCCACACAAGGAGGAGCTCATGATTGTTTCCAGGCCAAATGGACCCAACTGAATGACTCCTTTGTAACTTTAAAGGAGCTCTGGTAGTGCTGTGGTTAAAGCACTGGACTGCTAACCAAAAAAAGGTCAGCAGTTACAACCAACCAGCTGCTCCAACGGAGAAAGATGAGGCGGTCTGCTTCCATAAAGATGTACCCCCTTGGAAACTCTATGGGGCAGTTCTGTTCTGCCCTTAGGGTCACTATGAGTTGGAATTGACCTAATGGCAGTGGGTGGTAGGTGGTTATAACTTGAAAAAACAACTTTAGAAACATAGGTAATCTCTTGCCGATCAGATGTACCACCATTTTGTAACTATTACCTAAATGTCAACCAATCACTGAATTTTTACTGAATTTCCTTGTATTTTTCACATATAAACTCTCTGAATGGTCTCCTCCTTGGATCACTTGGTTCAGGATCCTCTGGACTGATTCCCAACTTGCAAACTGCCTTCCCCTCAATAAAAGCTCTTTACTTTTACTTTCAACCACATTCTGCCAACTTAGTTCTACAGCAGGGGCCACGCCCGTTGAAGGACAGCTTTGTCAAAGCATTTGAAAAACTACAACTTGCTTTACTCTGAACAAGTGGGAGTAAAATCCTTCAAATAAGAGAAAAAGTCAGCCCATCCCAGTCCAAACTAGGATGGACACAGATACTGCAGAGTTCATTTGGTCCAATGTCCTTAGTCACAGGAAGAGCCCGTGCCCCAAGATCTCTGAGGGGCCCCTGAGGTGGAGCCAGTAGCTCTACCCTTATCCAGATCTGGACTCCTCTTTCCTGGGCTCCATCAGCCAAGTCCATGGCTTTCATTCTCAGGATTGTCTCATGGTCCTAGCTGCAGGACCAAACAAAAGGGCCAAAAGACAGACCAACAGAATCCCACAACAGGTAAGTTCACTCTCCAACTCCACCTCCTAATGCACTCATGACAGGAAACAGTCAACCAGGTATTGAGTTTCTTAAACAAAGGGCCAGACAGGAAGATGTGTCGGCCCCACCTCCTCCCTCAGTCCCTGTCTTTTCACGGTCTTTCTCCCACTCCAGGCTGTGTTCACCTGTGTTTTGGCCATGACCAGCCCTCACCTCAGGCACAGACAAGGGTCTCTGACCACACACATCGGGCTGCTTACCTTTCTCCTCCGACTCCAGAATTTCCTGCAAAACCAGGAATGACGTGGACTGTTTCGGAGGTTCATTTAACTCCTGTTTCTCCTGAAGCATCTTGTAAACTTCAGATTCTTTGTCGATGACGAGGCCACTTGGAAGCTGAGAATGCTCTAAGCTGCAAAGAATGTTTGGAAATTCATTTGGACATGTCAGAAGTTGGGGAAAAAATTCATCAGGCACTCTCTCCAAGCAAAGACACCCAGAATCAAATGAGAAACAGAAAGCATCCCAATGAACCAAGCACTCTTAACAGCCACAAACCGGCCAGGACCGTGAAGTATATTTACAGGTAGAGCTGGCGGCCACTTCAATGCAGTAAGAGGCTATTTTTCCAGATAGTCTTAGTAATGCAGTTACTTTTTGACCTAATCCCATAGAACAGGAATGCTTTACTTCTTTTTAAACTACATAAACAACATTATGTCAAGAGAAAATTTAGAAGAGGAAAATGCCGACCACACTGTGACCACTAAAAAGTGCCCTCAGTACCAGCCACATGCACTCCGTTCAGAGCAGAATCACAGTGTCCTTTGGTCCTGATTACATCAGAGAATGGCCCATGTCTCCATAAACTCATGAGCCCCATGTCCAGGGGTTCCCATCTCCTCACCTACAACCTGGAGGTAACAGTACCTGCTTTGCTAATTCACCAGGTTAGTGGCAAGGATGAAATATGAAAGTGAAGTGCCATTCTGCTGTATAGGGGGTAGCAGAGGCCATTCTCAGGCTGAGACTTACTCTCCACACACACACCCATCCCCCCAGCCCCCCCACCCACCCCTGTCTCCTTTGAGAGAACCTCTGGGGCAGCCTCCTCAGCCTCCTGGGCCACTTTCAGGTTCCAGCTGGAAGCAGTAAATCTTTGCTGATGGAGCTCCAGGTGTACTTCCTTTTCACTTTGTATTCTCACAAGAAGGGACAAGACCCCCCAAAACTAACATAGGCTTTGCTGCTACCAAGGAAGGTCAAAGGTTAAGAAAAAAGACCCACCAGCTAGCCACTCCTGCTGGCTATGGTTGGGAAAGGGGAAACCAGCCATCCCTCCCTTGTCTATACGCTGACTAGTCTCTGCCTCTCTCTCTCTCTCCCTTCCTCCCATCTGTCATACCCCCAGGGCAAGTGATGGGACCACCTTGAGGAGCTGCTTTCAACAAGAACCATGGTCTTCTCTGGTCCACCTTTTCAGCCCTGTTCTTTGCATTCTGTGTTTGACTCTTTCTTTGAGTCCTGTGTTCTGAACTTGCCCTATAATAAATGTATTACATTATTTTTGAGGAATCTCTATTACACTGAGAACTATTTTAAAATCAAGATCAGAATCATGGAATGTTCTTGGGAAGAATCTTTCATCTTCTTTGGTGTATGTTATGTCTGGAAGCCACCAAGGGAATACTAAAAATGACAAAATCCAAACCACAAGGTCATCATGTGTTCTTTCAGCAAACAACCCTTTAAAGCATTTCCATGACTTAAAAAAAAAAAAGAAAAAACATCTTTTTTCTTAAAGGATATCTTTCTACCAGATGACTATAAAAAAACAAACCAAACTCACTGCCATTGAGTCAATTCTGATTCATAATGACCCCCAATGGGTTTCCAAGGCTGTAAATCTTTACGAAGCAGACTGTTTCATCTTTCTTCCACAAAGCAGCTGGTGGGTTCAAACCACTGACGTTTTTGGTTAGCAGCCAAATGCCTTAACCACTACACCACCACATGACTATAATAAGTATTTATTCCTTTTTTTTTTTTTTTTTTTGGAAGAATTAATATACTTAATTCAAAATTTGAATCCTAAGTCCCCATGCCTAAGTCTTAGGCAGTAATTATACTATAAGGTATTGACACGTAACACCCCAGTATCTTTTTTAAATTCTAGGAAAAGAGCAAGTGTAAGAAATGAAGGGGGGGGGGAAGCATTCTTGTTTTTATATATAGTAACAGCGATAAAAGAAAGAATTCTACAGTGATAGGATTTCAGAAAATAGAATGAACATGACTGAGTCGCCAGGAGAACATTTGAGGGTGGAACACTGGAAGTAACCATGTATTCAGTCTTACTAACAAAATGCAAGAGTTTAATCAAATTCAACTCCTTCACGTTACACTCTTGTGTTTGGCACACTTGATGCAACTGTACACCAATTACCTAAATGGTGAACATTTTCCCCCAATCTTTTAGGTCCTGACCTCAAAGATCAGATCATAAAACCAGGGCCTATCTCCCCAAGGATATTACAGGCTGGTGTGGTGCATAGCCTGACATGGTGGCTGACAAAGCCAGGTATTCAAGGATCCTAGCAGTTTTGGGGGGAGCTCTGGCAGCACAGTGCCTAAGGCACTTGACTGCTAACCAGAAGGCTGGCGGTTCAAATCCACCAGCCACTCCTCAGAAGGAAGGTTGGGCAATCTACTTCCATAGT